CTCTCTCTCTCTATCTCTATCTCTATCTCTATCTCTATCTCTATCTCTATCTCTATCTCTATCTCTATCTCTATCTCTATCTCTATCTATCTGGCACTCATGTCCTGATCTGATACTCTATCTTAGCATCTCTCTCTCTGCATCTGATACTCTATCTTAGCAAAGCTTCAATTGGGAAAAGAAAACCCAGGAAATTTCCCGCTTGAGCTAAGTCATAGTTGTAACACATCTATGAATGCTATTCATCTACCTTGTCAGTTCTAATGATAAAATCACAACACCCAAAGGGTAATTTTTGAATTAATTATTGAAATATTTACTATAATCCCACTGTATATAAGGCATTGTGTCAGGTCCCTTGTCACATAGATGAGACAATATTTTTACTATAAAAGGATTTACAAAATCAAGGGGAAAGGTGAAATATGATAAACATGGTTCAATTCACATTTCAAAAAATGATATCAATTTCTAATCACCAATATTTCAAATTAAAGCATCAATACCATACAGCAATAAACATAAACAAATAGAAATTTGAGCTCAGTATCCCTTGGCACACCCTTTTTGGCAAAAAGGAAGGTTTGCAGCGTACGTACAGGGGTGTTCTGCATATATGGAGTCATACTCGTCACAGGTTCGTATCCCATCGAAAGCATTGGTGACACACTCCCACCAGAGGCCTCGGCATTTTGTGCTCACCTGGAGGTGGGAAAAGACACTGTGTGAAACAACTCGTGAAGCCCACTTCATTTCTTCTTGGTCAAATGGAAACTCTGCTATCATTTTTGCCAGCAAAGTACAGTGGTTACAGGCATGATTAGAATTCTATTTGTATAAAGCAATGCACATTAGAATTAGTTTCCCTTAAACAATGACAATTAAAGGCTTTTCTAAGCCAAGAAATGAATTTACTTCCTGACTGGAGGGGGCATGTGGAGAAATAAGTCATGGCTGAAAGGGATGAAACCAGAACTAAATATATTCTTCTGTCTTTGAGTCATGCTTTAACATAAAGACAATCCATTTCACTTCCATGCCCTAACATTTACTCATAAATAAATCTATAAAACAATAGATGGTAATGGTAATGTCTCAAGTCTATCAGCAATGCACATTAATTCATCTTCATTACAGACATTGACTTTCATGAAGAAAGATGCTGTTTTATATGAGGTTCATAAATTTAAAATTAGCAAAGAAAACCAATAAAGGAAAAAGGCAGCAATAAATGACTGAGAATCTCTGATCATCTTCCTGCCTGCTATACTGACATATTACAAATGTTGAAGCTATGACATGAATATAAAAGAACCAAGAAGTGATCTAATGTAATTTGACAGGCGTCAACCACTTTTACTTGGGATTAGCCTGCAGATGACAATGTCCACTTAGAGCTAAACGGTCCCCGCACCGTGAGTCTTCTAATCCTTTATTGGTGGACTAGAAGTCACCATAAACTTTTTAAAAACAGTGGTAAACATCTCAGCAGACAGCCGTTTCAAGTGTTCTTGACAGAGTCATGAATATGGAGCAGAGACAATATGATTGTTTCTTCAGCCTCCATAACATACCCTATTACCTTGGAAATCTAAAGCTAGCCTAGAAAACTTTTAGCGTTACTCTGGAAAGTCCCACTCTACACCCCATTCCCAAAGAATAAATAACACAGTAGGGTGGGGAAGCAGCCACAAAGGGAAAGGTGCTGAAATGGTACCCATAGGAGGGAGAGGACAGACAAACATTTTTCAAAAAAGAAAATCACATTAACATGAGCATAGTAATATAGCAACTCTGAAACTCTCGCCCATGTTCTGCTTGGGGCCTGATAAAACTCTACGGATACTCTCATTATTGCTTTTTGTGTAAACTACTTGTAACTGGTAATGATTAACGATCATATTGAGTCTATACTTTAAAGCATCTGCTATTGAAGTATATTATCATGTCATTTGTTTCTTAAATAGCATGAATGAGATATTATCATCCGTTCACAAATAGGGAAATGGAGGCATGGGAAAAGGAAAATACTGTAACAGCACAGTCATTAATAATGCAGGAGAGAAAACTCCAAGTGAACCATAGGTGTGTGTGTGTGTGTGTGTGTGTGTGTGTGTGTGTGTGTTCCCAAGCTTTGCTTGTGGTGTGCTTACAACCCATTTAAAAAAATCTATTTCAAGCTAAGGTATCCAGGACTTGGTACTTGAGTGTTGGAAGACAGCCTTTGGTGAAGTGGCCCTAACATGATTCTCATGCCAAGGCTCTCATTCTTCAAATCACCACTTTGGCAGGCTGTCCCTCCGGTAATGCTGTAGATTTTATGGACGATTATCTGACCTAGAGAAACACAGAGGTCAAGGCTCATAGGAAGAAAACCCATCTGGTGCAACCTGACACGATGATTTCTAAAAGAAAGATATGCACATATACACGTACATGAGCATGAGCTTGAAACACAGACTGACACTTTTAATAGCTTTGTTGTAACTTTGGGCAAGATCTTCCACTTTTTTTTAAATTTCAATTTCCTCACCTGTATACAGGAGATAATAATAGGGTGATTAAAAGTATTAAAAATCACTAATACATAGAATAAATTATTAGCTCAAATGAAAATGCTAACACATTTTTAAACACCATGAATTAAGTAATTAAATTATATAGAGTTTCACTAAAAATGATGACAGAAGAAAGTTAGACAAAACAGGATGAGTGACAGCCTTCTAAAAGGTTCAACTAGTCGATGACCATGGCCCTGTTTGCAGATACGATCGACTGAAAGGCCTGAAAGAAGATATGGCGTTGGGTTGTAATGATGGATCCTGAACTAATGGATAATGGTGTCCTTATCATATGTCCACAAATGAAAGGTACACAGGCAGAGGAAGAGAAGCAGGCCACAGAGGAGGCCACAGGAACACGGCAGTGATGGGAGTCACATCAGAGTCCCAAGTCACGGACAACTCAGAGCCACTAGAATCTGGAAAGATCCAGAGCAAGTCTCCCTGGAGCATCAGAGGCAACAAATGAAGCCTTGCAAAGATCTTGATTTTAAAGTTTGGGCCTTCAGCACTATGAGAGAATGATTCCCTTAAGGTCATTTATGATGGCTGCCTCAGGAAACTGATACAGTTAGGGTACACACTGACACACTAGCCTAGGAAGGAAAGCAGGCCTTGGTAGTCCGTGTCCTCAGTCTCTCATCTCACAGATTCAGTTTATCCTAACTTGAATGGTACACTATGGATATGAAGGCATTGCTCCGTGATCAAACAGTGAATTTTTACATTTTCCTACCGTCTAAATCATCCAAGAAAACATTCATGCTGCAATATACATGATCACTCCTGCTGCACATGATGTAACCCACACAATCCTTAATAATAAGGGTATTCAGCTATAATCCAGTACCGGTGTCAATTTCAAGGCTATTGATTATTTACCTGCCATGACCATATTTCGAAAAGCAATGAGGTCATTAGAGGAAACAAGGAATCCAATTCCATTAGGTATTAATGCTCGGGGGCATACTGTTAAATCGCTTGGTATTCACACTCAGCTAAGATACGTGAGAATAGTGGCTGTAATTAACTAAACTTGTGTGTTAATACAGCACTTACTGCAGACGCCCTTAAAGGTGCCTTTGTGCACAAAAGACAAGGTTAAAAGATTTTTATGTTATCATTTTAGGAAAGCCCTCCTGCTACAGTCTATCACTTTCAGCCAGCCTCACCGGCTGCGATAAAACGGCTTATTTAACTGTTTTACAAGGTAAGTCAACGGAAATTCTCGAAAGCCTTAAAATAAGGTTCTTTAAAGGCTAACTAGTGCTTAAATAGTGTGGCTAACCTTTCTTAAAGGGCAAAAACTATAAAATTGGAACTAATCATTTTAATCTCACAGGGTCATTTGAAATAGGAAATTCGAATTTTGAGCTTGCTCCTTTTAACATGCACTCGGTGTGTTTATAAATAACACAGGCACCAATGCTGAAGGGATTTTTGCTTCAGTGACGTCGTCATTGCTCCCAAGAGTGAGATGGGGATCATTTCCCACACAAGGAGATGAAGTGTTCCAAAGCATCAGGAAAGCAGAAGCCACAGCGCATCTCCCGACTGCTTGTCAATACTCCAAGTGGAGAGATGCCGCAGAGAGCCCAGACACCTGGCTTCCCTTGCTCGCGTGGGTAGCTTCGTCTCCTGGCCTCCTTGTGGATGGCAACATTTAGCATGAGTGGGTGGCTGCTTGCATCTAAGTTTGGTTGTTCTCATCATGTCCCTGCAAAGTCCATTTCACTCATACACAGTAGCTGCCTGGTTCCTCAGTACACTGAATGATTCACACTTGGTCTATACTAAAAATGATGTTCCTTGCTCTCAAATTTCTACCTGGAATTCAAGCCCCACCCCCTTCAAAGACATTCCTTCTTCTATAAGGCACCCCTCTATGCTCTTTCTAGCTGGAGTTTCTCTCTTCCTACTCTGTGATTCCCCAAGAATTTGTCTACGATGTCATGTTCTAATCTGTATCACTGAATGCTTGTCATGTTCTAATTGCCATGTCAACTAATGTTGGGAATACAGCAAAAGCAGGGCAGATGTGACTCCTTGTTTCAAGGATCCTGTTATTCCCCTTCTTGGTATATAACAGATGCTCAATAGATATTTACTGGAGAAAAAGTCTGTCAATTATTGTCAACCCACACAAATGCATATTAACTCTGCTCTGAGATCTGAAATGCAAAGTGGCCAATACTACACGATGCACATTTTGCCTCTTATATACGTATGCTCAGTTGTTAATTCATCTTTTTCTTTTGGTTTGATGCAACAGAGACTCAGTTCGTTAGCCCAAGCTATCCTGGAACTTGCAGCCATCCTTCTGTCTCAAACTCTTGAGTTCTGCAACTACAAAGATGGACCACCAGACCTGGCTTCATATGTGCTTTTTAAGCAAAATCAACAAACTGTAGCAGTTAAGTTCATGAGATGAAAAACTACATTCTAACTGGAGATTTACACTGACTTAGTGTTTCTCTAAAAACCTTTAGAAATCCTAACAGTATTGAGAATGTCGAAGAAGTTGTCCTCTAAAGATTCTGTCCTATGGCACAGGCTGCCAGACCCCTTCATGACTAAATGACTTGACCCCCACCCCAGAACCTATGAAAATACTTAGATTTTGATATAATTCTCTTGTTGCATACATTAGAATACTGTCTTAAAAATTTGCTGTGTCAGAGGTCACAAATTATATTTCAATAACAGTTAGGTTTTTCCCTTTCTATATAAAATTTTCTCTCTTTGAAGAACCAAGCAGAAAAGCCTCATCATTTAGGCCAAATCCACTTTTTCATCAGCCTCACTAAACAGCCACAGGGAATAGATCTTTAGTTCTTAAAAAACAAAATGTTCTTACTAAAATGATGGGGCAAATGCATGTATTAGTTCTTTAAATTGTAGCAAGGTATAAGACCCTGCTTTTAAAAATATGATTGTTTCGCCATATACATACTTCTTACTTAGGGTTCAATGTCAGTTTTTAAAGATCATCTTTTGGGGCCTGGAGAGGTTGCTTAGCAGTTAAAAGCACTGTCTGTTCTTCCAGAGGACCCAAGTTCAATTCCCATCACCCACAGGGCAGCTCACAACCATCTGTAACTCCAAGATCTGACACTCTCACACAGATATACATGCAGGTAA